CAAGAGATGTTTTCTCCCAGTGAGAGTGCTTATAACCTGAGAGATTCTTATGGTAAACTTTATGTCCCAAAACCACGCACAGATTATTTGAAACGCTCCTTCAGTTACAGTGGAGCCTCTTTATGGAATGGCCTGCCAGAATCTCTTAGATCAGTAACCTCTCTCGCTGCATTTAAGACAGGTTTAGAAGCCTTCTTAATAAATAATCGATCTGACTCCCACACGGCAATCAGGTAGAACAGTATCTATATTTCTTTTTGCTCCTTTTAAAATTTTTTAATATTTTTGTAAATAACTATACTGATGATTTTCCGTGTTTAACTAAAGTTGATGTATGTATGTATGTATGCATGTATTCATTTTAACACACTTCAGGAAACAGCTTATGGTTTCTTCCCCATTCGTGACCTGTGCGCTGTTATAATCTCTAGCTTCTTTGTATGGCCTTTGGTGTGCATGCAATGTTCTTTTAAACATGGGGCGGCATCGTTGATCGATTTATTGGGGTTTACCAACCCCATCAACACTCTATCTGTCCCTAGAGCTTCACTCTCAAAATTTCAAGGGCGGTGCCACAAATGCAACAAAGTCGGGCACATGGCACGGGATTGTCGTTGTAGCCAAAACCACACATATACCAAATGTGGCAAAACTAGTCATTTTGAGATCTGTTGTAAAACTAAAACAGCTAACCCTAAAAATTCCAAGCAGAACTCGCGACAAGACCCTCCCAAGAAACCACATTACCGCGTCAACACCGTGGCATCTGAGGCCCAAACCCCTCCCGAAAACGCTATTCCTGATGATGATGACTATTATGCATTTACGGCTGCTGATAATTCCCAGTCCCCCAGCACATTGCCAATCTTAATCGAAAATAAACTCATTGATGTGGTAGTTGATTCTGGGGCGAGCTGCAATTTGATATCACATGAAGTATTTCAATCTCTTTTTTTTTGGGGGGGGGGTAGTACCCGTGACACCATGTAGCAAACAGGTTTACCCATACCTTGCAACTAAAGCCCTAGATCTTGTAGGCAGTTGCACTCTCAATGTATGTGTCCCACAAATAGCTTACTCGTCAATAGCTGCAATATAACCCCTCTGCCTGACAAGAAAGTTGTAGTGAGAGCCAAGTACCGTAGAGTGTTTCAAGGTTTAGGCAAACTTAAGGGTCTTCAACTAAAACTACACATAAATCCCAATGTTAAGCCCTTAGCACAACATATGCGCAGAATTCCATTCACTCGTATACAGAAAGTCAATGAAAAGCTGGGAGAACTTGAGAAACTAGGTGTAATTGAGAAAGTAGACACACCCACTAGCTGCAATCAACCCCTCAGTTGGTCCTGCACAACTCACCGATGCTGCAGCAACTAAAGCTTATGCACGCAGTCTAGCCAGCCAAGCTATACTATTTGCCCTAACCCCTAAGAAGTTGAACTTGCCTCTGAAAGAGACCCTACCATAAAGCTAGTCCGAGAAGCAGTAACCAGTGGAGATTGGAGCAGTCTATCTCGTACAATCTACAAAGCTTTGTCTGAAGAAATCTGGGTTTTAGGACAAATTGTCATGCTTGGAAACCGTATTATCCTGCCCGAAAGCCTGTGAAAACAGACCTTGTCCCTAGTCACGAGGGACACCAGGGTATTACCCGCACCAAGGCACGACTACGAGAAAAAGTTTGGTGGCCAAACATGGACAAACAAGTGGAACAGCTTGTTAAAGCTTGCTATCAATGTCAACTAGTCAGACCACGAACCAAACCAGAACCCATACGATCCACAAAACTACCCGAAGGTCCTTGGAACGACATTGCAGCAGATCTCCTCGAAATTCCAGGTGGTAACCACCTCTTAGTAGTGACTGATAACTTCTCCCGATGGCCCGAAGTAGTCCTCGTTAAGAAGACTGACGCACAGCACATAAATACAGCACTGGAAGGCATATTCAGAGCACATGGTCTTCCTCAGAGTATCCGAACTGATAATGGACCACCCTTTGCATCGAAGCTAGTCCGAGAAGCAGTAACCAGTGGAGTAACCACTAGTTTCTTGCAACATCTTGCAATAGTAGTAACCACTAGTTTCTTGCAACATCTTGGAATTGAACACAAGTAAGCAGTAACCACTAGTTTCTTGCAACATCTTGGAATTGAACACAAGAAAGGTATCCCATACTGGACCCAAAGCAACGGAAAAGTTGAGAGATGCAACCAGACAATCCTGAAAGCAATCCGAATTGCCAACCTCGAAGGAACGAGCTGGAAAATAGCACTGGAGAACTTTCTTTTTCATTATCGAGCAACCCCCCATGCTGCAACTGGTCTATCACCAGCCAAACTACTGATGAGCAAAACGCTTCGCGACAAACTGCCTCAAATTAACAATTCCCGAGGACAGAGCAATCGAAGCAGAATGGCAACAACGTCTGAGAGAAAGAGATGCTCAAAATAAACTTAGACAAAAGGAGCATGCTGATAAAAAAAGATCTGCGGAACACAGCTCTATTGCGCAAGGTGATGATGTGCTTTTAAAACAAACCCGTGAGAACAAATTGGACACCAACTTCGAACCAATGCAATACAAAGTTATTCGGAAGGAAGGCAACTCCATACTACTAGGGAACCATGAAGGAGTCCGAAAGATGCGCAACATCGCACATGTAAAAAACTGACAAAACCTTCAACTTAAGTTGATGCTGAGACATTGCCTCCAGCCAATTCGATGGTTCCTGCCTCTGCCTCTGAAACTCCAGCAGAGTCGCGTCCTTCACGCCAGACTACTCTGCCAACGCGATATAGAGACTATATACTTGTTTAAGGCATTCATAATTAAATGAACAATGTTGAATAGTCTTGACGCTAACATTATTTGAACTTTATTTTTTTTTTGGAGTTGATTGTTTTATTCTAAGTAGGGAGGAGATGTAGTGTACCTTGCATGAACATGCTTACATGAACACGCTTACATGAAGTAATTATAAGACTGAGTGATCGCTAAGGACAATGGGACATTCGCGCTCAAAAAGAATAGCATGTGTTTAGATTTGTGAAAAGAATTGTTAATAAAAAACGTTTGAAAACTCAATAATACTACACTTTTTAAAAGCTTTTTGTTGAGAACCACCCCTTCTAGTGCTACGTATGCTGTAGACTCATCCTCTAACCATTTTGTCTTCTTTCCTTTCTTCTAGAGAGACGCCCATGTCCAAAATTTCAAAAACGCTTGCCATTCTCCCAGCTGTGTTTGTTAAGCACATGATTCAAGATGGAGACCCATTTCTCACGTAAACATACTTCAGCATCACTACCACAAGTCTATGAACACCAGCACAAACATTTCTCTTTGTCTTAGCTTTCTCCAAATTTTTTTTTATCCACTTCCACAGATACCACACATCCTACGGATGGATTATTGAAGGAATTTTTTATATATACTAGAAATACATGCATGCAGCAACCCCTCACCTGTATTTTCGAAACATTGATTTAACATGATGTATTAGTAACTGATCTACATTGAACGTAGGCTCGCGTTTACGTCAGTGTTGCAATAGCAACACGATAATTTTAATTTTATTATTTTTTTGTACAACACCCAACAATAGTTGAAAGATTATTGCTTTTACCTATATAACAATGAATTTCCGAAATATGTACAGTAGGTATGTTGTTTTGCATTTTGTGAGCTTTGATTTAATGTAAAATTTATATTAATTTGTAAAATGTTTTGAAGTATTCATTTTAATAACTATTAACTGCTTTTCCCGATAAGCTGTTTTACTATTAATAATGAAACAAAATAAGTTCAATTTATAGGGTAATTTCAGTGAGGTTTTCAAAAAATTTGCTCTCCTTTACATTTTAACTTTTTTATTTTATTAAACAGGTGAGGGTAATTTAACAAGGAAAGCAGTGCATGTTTTATACGCAATAAATTAAAGCAACAAATTTATAAACATTAAACATTCAAGCAAACTTGCCCTATATTTCACGATTTCCAACAGTAAATCAATTCTTCTCATTTCTTCAAACAAAAATTGCTTCAAAGCTCATTGTTTAAAACATGATGCTCCAGATATATGCTTTTGGAAATTGAAATCTTGTTTATCCCACTCCTGGCAAACAGTCATATTTTTGAGATCAGTTAGGATGACCCATTGAACTGTAAATAAACTGGAAGGCTAAATCCTATAATGAACTATTCTATATGATTCGTTGAAACCGGCGCGGTATAAATCAACGCAAAGGTATCTAGTTTATAATATGTAAAAAATGATGACCAGTGGTCATGTTTAAGTACTTCACTTGACGCCATGTCTTTGGGCAAGTTAAAAATTATCCTTGCCGCTCTATAATGTAATCTTTCTACGGCGTCAAGCATATCAGAATTACACCCACGATGTTGCTCTCCAGTAGTTTCATATTAAGCTATAACCCTATTCTATCGAGCCCCCCTTGGAACTGCAACCCCCCCGCCCATTAAACAGACCTGAAGAAGTAAAGCTCTGGCGTCCATAATAGAGATTGTACAGTAAATTAGTAATTGCCCTCCACTACAGATTTCGTAATCTAGTGTGTTCACAAAGAAAAATACACTTGTACAGTAACAGAAATTACCTCGTCATTCGCACTTTTCTCTCTGATTTGCGCCCTCCTATATGATAATTGTTTGGGATGTAAAAACAGAAATATCGATGAAACACACCAGGTTATACAGCCTTTTTCCCTTTCATAAATAATTCTCTAATTAAGAGAACCCTCGAAACAATCTGGGGTAAATGAGCGCTGCAAACATACAGTAGCACGAATGAGCTTTCGGCAGGTTGTCACGACGAACAGGTCTGAGCCATGTTCTTCCAATTTGTTGATCATTAGGCAAACGATGATACGATATATCACTCTCTTAATTGTCTACTTTGAACAATTTGTAAAACCAGGAAACGTGCAATGCGGCATTTTCCTGAAAAAAGTAATTATAACACAAGAAAAGTCGCCTGTGAAGATTGCTGCGTAGTTTTAAAATTTGAATGTAAATGCGGTCCCGCGAAGCCGTGCAAGAGCGTCACCAGGTAAAATCGCTGCGTGATTGCAGCTTTGCTCTTATGTACAAAATGGCGGCTGCGTTATATGTAAATTTTAGCACATTTATCGCTCTTGACTTGGTTATAACATGGAGATGTGGAGCATTATATATCTTCTATATCAGTTTAAATTGTTCTGAACTCTGACTTCCCCTTTAATTGCACTTTCCGTGAGTGGAATTAATGATTTTCATGATGGCTGGGGAGGGAGGTGGGGGAATTCGAATCAAAACAACAAAAATCCAATATGGCGGCGGAATTTATCTTGCATATAAATAACAAACGTGGGCGAGTTTAACTACATTTTTGCACAAGAATGAGTTTAAAAACCATTGTATGGCAAAAAGAGCCTCTGGGAAATACCTGGCAAAAGTTTTAAAAAAAATTTCAGCGGGATGCAGCGAAACGAGACTATGTTATCAAGATTTTCTTACTCTAATATATGTTGTTTGAGTTTGGATCATGTTTTCCATTTTAAGGCCTGTTTTGTAGGTCGAATTTCGGCCGAGTCGAATGCAATTTAAACAATAGATAATGATACTTAATGAGGTTTATCATCTCATTATCTATTGTTTGAATTGCATTCGTTATATAAAACAGGCTTAAGGTGGCTCGCTACAGTTTATAGAAATGTTGAAAATGCGTAAACGAGATTACCTTTTTGAAGAGATGATGCTCTTTACAAATCAAAATTTGTATATTATACATACAGCGACAATCAAACAGTCGAAACTTGCTCAGAAAAGTGACGTCACCACTGTTGCTATGGCGACAATAACGATTCAAGATGGCCGATATTTTGGCTTTGAACGCATTTTACTTTTAAAAAAAGTCGGTTACCCCCATTTTTTATTTCAGAAAACATTTTCTTATAGTACAGTACACTATCTGACCAATTTTTAAAAAAATTTATAATGTCAAATTTTTTAAAAATTTATAAACATCGTTTTTCGAAATAATTTTTTTTTGCATTACAGAATTTTTTAAAAAATTGGTCAGATAGTGCATTGCACTATAAGAAAATGTTTTATGAGATAAAAAATGGGGGTAACCGACCTTTTTTTAAAGTAAAATGCGTTCAAAGCCAAAATATCGGCCATCTTGAATCGTCATTGTTGCCATAGCAACAGTGGTGACGTCACTTTTCTGACCAATTTTCGACTGTATGATTGTCGCTGTATATATAAAAAACAAATTTCGATTTGTAAATATAATGTTGTCTATAACATTGTTATCTATGCTTTCTTTAATAATCTCTAACAGAACATAATCTTACAGTTGCGTCTATATCGCCATCTTGCTTACTTCCTCGTGGTCCATAATTAATGTTTATTATCTTAATTATGCTAGACACTACATCCCTCCTTTTCTCAGAGTTTTTCACAATTGCAGTTCTTCTGATAGTTTGGTTCTCATTGTAAATGGGATTCTGCGGGCTTTTTGAATTCTGGGTTGGACAGTTTTATCAATGTGTAAATGGACTTTGTAATCTGGGACTTTTCCGATTCCTTGGAATAAATAATCATATTTCAAAAATAAGGTTCTCAATCTTTTAGGTCTAGACTTGCTATTTGTTGGAGCATTTTTCTTAGGTTGATGGTTTTGAAGGTCGAAATGTAACAAATGCAATTTTGTTTAGCTTTAATAACCCAAGATCAATTGCAGTGTTTCCACTTATTAGACATCCAGCATCAGTGTTTATCACATAAAATTGGGCTGTGGTAATTTTTGTTCCTGATTCAACTGAAGCTTCGAAATACCCTTTGATGTCGAGAGGTGTGTTAGTGGCAAAAGCAAAAAGTTTTATTTTGCTTTTCATCAAGTGGATGTTGTTCTGGCGTGTTAATTTCACAAAACTAGTATTATCGATAATATTTACACTAGCACCAGAATCAATGTTTACATGAATAGTTATGTCATTGATTTTAATATGGGTGTAGAAATTTCGTTTTCGACAGTCACTGTTAACTTCATTAACAGTTCCTCCTGTGAGTGAAGTGGTGATAGATGTTAAAACGACTTTGTTAGTATCAGGGGTTTGTTTTTTTATTGTGTAAACATATTCATCTGAGCTTGAATTCGTACCTTGTTCGTCTATTTGTTTCACTTGGGATCTTCGTTCATTGGAATTCTGAGGAAACTTACTTTCACGCTGTCCAGCTGAAATTTTCGATTTACAACATCGTGCAAAATGGTTTTGCTTGTGACAATGGTTGCATGTTTTCCCTTTTGCCGGACAAACATTCACATGTGGCCAGCTTAATCCACAAAAGAAACATATTTTCTTAGGCGTTGTAGCAGCCAGATTTCGTCGTACGGCGTGGATATCTTTCATTGGTGTTTCATTCATATTTTGCTCAATTCCGCTCGCATCTTCTTCAACAGTTTCAAGTGTCCGTCCATAGTCTAAGAGTTCAGCCAAAGTCAGTTTTGGTTTACGGAAAGCATATCGTCGAAGTTGTTTGGAATTGGTCCCTAGCTCAATTTGAGCTTTTATCTCAGTATCTAAGTTTGAGAATTCACAGTACTTAGCTTTCTGGACGAGTCGTACATGGTATTGATCGAGAATTTCGTCAACAAGTTGGTTTGTTTTCCTGAACTTGAATATTTCAAACGATGTATTCTTGCGAGGTTTAAAGTGTTCATTTAAAGCTTGACACGCTTCGTCATAGTCGTCTTCTGTGCCTGTCTCGGGCAGTGTTTCAAAGATATTTAGAGTACTTTCACCGATATAGTATAATAATAACGCTCGTTTTCTTTTCTTGTCTTTTATATCGAGTGCAATCAGTAGGTTTTCGAATCGCATGAACCATCGTTGCCATCGAATTTCGATATTTTCCCGATTCTCGGCGTCAAAAGAAGCAAATTCTGGTAAGCTAGTCGCCATTTGAGGTACTTGTATATGAAACGATCCTCGTCGCCAATATAATGTTGTCTATAACATTGTTATCTATGCTTTCTTTAATAATTTCTAACAGAACATAATCTTACAGTTGCATCTATATCGCCATCTTGCTTACTTCCTCATGGCCCATAATTAATGTTAATTATGTTAATTATGCTAGACGCTACACCTTGGGCCTGCACGCGGGCTAGGTTAATTAATTACCGATCGCCTCAGCTAGCCAATGGGAATTTAGCCGGCGGTTCGGCCGGCGAAAATCGAAAACATGGGGTGATGGTTGCAGGCTGTCCCTCACCCTCAGACAGCCTGTACGCAGGCTAGGCTTTGATAGGATGTTTTGTAATCTTAAAGGTGATCTACAGTCCGTATGTAAACAAAGCCTTTGTTTACATTTTTGTGTCCAAAATATTGAGCTTTATTCGACAACTATTTATATTTTCAAGCTTCTAGAGTATAATAAATGATCAAGAAACAACAATTAGGCTTTTCAAGAACTCAAAACATAGTTAAACTGTTTGTATCATAAAAAGTGGGCTCATTTGTGCACATGCGCAGATCGGACTGTAGATCACCTTTAAGAACTCTGTAAAACACCTTCCAAAATGCAGGGAATGGCATTTCTGATTGTTTAGATTTCGGGTTGGGGGCATGCACCCAGACCCCTCTAGGAGTCGTGTGCCTTCAATGTTCAATCATTTTTCGGCCACCTACTTGTAAACTTAATGACAGCACTGCTTCAAAAGAGTAATATGCAATAATTTGTACATTGGTATAAAATAATTATTGAAACAGATTATAAATGAATAGGTGAACAATAAGACTAGAACAATATATTACCTTAGTTAAATAATTTGTAAAAATTTGTACTAATTAATATATACTGTAAATCACTATTACACAAAATTTTGTTTCACTTCAAATATACAAGACATTGGTAGGCTCAACTTTGAGTTATTGTGGTTTGAGAGAGAACAACGGCTAGAATCGGAGCGCACTGATGTAGTGAATAAGTACACTATTCACATCTGAATTTGGCTGTCAACCTTTTTCATTCTTTTCGGTTTTTTTGTTGCAATTGTACTTATCAATATCCCTGCAAATGAGAAACTTTGAACAGTCATACAGTTTAACAATGTTCTCAAAACACAAGGACTCTGGCATTCTTTTGATACTGCAACATTAGATTGCTCAATAATGTCATTCCACAAACTTTTTGCTGATCGAGGAGCTTGGACATTCTTATTATGACAACTTTATCAACATGTAAAGAAGTAGGTTTGGCTATTCTCTCTCTC